GTTGGTGGCGATGACGACGAGGCCAACGACAATGCCGAACACGCTGATGATGACGACAGTGCTGGTGATGACGACGACGACGTTGGTGGTAGCTGATGAATCTAATGGCGGTGATTCTGACGGTGAGAATGATGGCGCTGGCAATGATGCTTCTGATTGCATTGGTGAAACTTGTGAGAAAGGGTGCGCGGGCAGAAACCCCGACAGTTTCTTCATTGGGAAACAAGTTGTTATGCCTGTGCTTGGACACATAAACATGAAACACGTAGCACCCCACAGTTGCGGATAAGAGTGAGGGGGCGGCGGGGACGTCAGCAGTCTGCGAGGCTCTGATACAGCCCGCCGCAGGTGCAAATTTTTCAAGCTATACAGCGAGCCCGCAGCAGGCGCCGAATGTTTGTTAAAGCAATGAGGGTGGGCCGCGGGTTGGGTCGCGGGTGGGTCGCGGGTGGGTCGAGGGCGGGTCGCGGGGTGGGTCGCGGGAGGTTCGCGGGAGGTTCGCGGGCTGGTTGCGGAGTGGGCCTCGGGTGGGTCGCGGGTGGGTCGCGGAGTGGGTCGCGGGTGGACGTGTATTTCACGAAGCCCCTGAGGCAAGTGAAGAGATGACGGATGGAAGGAAGGACAAGGAGGAGGGACGAGGATGGAGCACGGGCTGGGAATAAAAAACACGTGGCAGAACCAGACGGGAAGATCGGGCGGGTAGACCCTACCAGACGGGTCGGGAAGGATGGCCCAGGCGGCCAGGTCGAGCAGGCGGGTTGCTCAAGCGTGCGCCCTGCATGAATCGCGAGGAACTCTCGAGCGACAGCTCGATTCTCAAATCAATCGCGAGGAAATCCACAGCGAGAGCGTGACTCCTGACTGTCGAGGGCGCGGCGTCTGCATACATTGCTAGGAAGTCCTACGCGAGAGCGCGATTCCTAGATAAATTGTCGCGAGCGCGATTATGGAATACACTATAAAGAAGTATCACGAGGGAGCCGTTGTTGTTGTAGTTCGGGGGCCAACAGCGCAGTTTGGCCCGAGGGAATTCCCCGGATAAAAACTTGGTGCAAGCCCTGGGGGGAAGCACTTCAACTGTAAAACACAATGGTCACCAGCGGGGCAGGATCAACAGACACTATTCTTCAGTAGTGGGAGTTCAACAACAGCAACAACAACAACAACCTTGGCAACAATAACACCAACAACAACAGACAACTTAACACAGAAACAAACAAACAAACAAACAAACAAACAAACACCAATAATCCGCATCGCGGAATCCCACTTCGGCCACGCACCCAGGGCCAATGAATGACCGTTCGCCCCCCCCCCCCCCCCCCCCCCCCCCCCCAGTCTGACGTAAAACAACAACCGCGGTTTTCAATGATTTCGACATGCGCGCGCGGGGGGGCGCGCGCGTGGCCCCGATTGCGCTGGAATGTCAGGTTGGCGGGCGCCCAAAGGCTGTGGTCGAACGGTTTCGACATGCGCACGTGTGGCCCGCATGGTCTCCTCCGAAAGACTTGCAGGGAACACATGCGGGCGTGTTCTGAGGTCAGCAAGTCCGCGCGCACAGAACTCTGGCACGTCGTGCTGACACCAAGTCATCGATAGCATGTGTTGAACGTTGTGCGAGAACCAGTCTTGATGTAAGGAGTCTTGCATGTGCGCACGCGTGTGGCTCGCATGATCATGCGTGTTATACGGGGCCCTTGAACATACGCTCGTGAGGTCAGAGCGAGTGCTCCGCACAGTACCATTTGACAGGGATGAGGGGTGAATAAAGGGACTTTCTGGGATTGGATGCGTATACAGCAAAGTAAGGATAGACGACCGCGGAAAACAGGTGTATGCAACTACATCTATATATACATCCTACCTATACGACCACCCTGCGGGTGATAAGGAAGTTTGGGGGGGAGAGGGCTAGCAATGGGCAACAGTGGTGATTGTTGTTCTGACGATGCCACTGGAGATTGTTGCGCTGCCGCTGGCTCTTGGGAGCCTTGGTGTCGAGTTGTTTACGTCACCCTTCGCTCTTGGGCGCCTTGGTACCAGTCCCCCCCCTCCCGGCAACTAATGAAATAATAAAGTATGTCGTTCATTTTGCAAGGGCTTGAGGGGCCGTTTGGGCGCGTCTTTTGGACCCCTTGGGGGGCTCTTGGGGGCCTCTTGGGGGGCTCTTGGGGGCCTCTTGGGAGCCTTGTTGGGCTTCTTGGGGGTCTCTGGGGGCCCCCCGGGAGCTTCTTGGAGCGACCCTTAAGAGCCCGTTCCGCCAACGTTCGTACTGGGAGCCTTGGTGTTCAGAGATTGTTGCGTTGCCGCTCGCTGCTGGCACAGCATGCAGCACGGGATGTCGATGTGCCTGACGACTTGCATTTGCAATTGCTTATCGATGTGCATGTCGATTTGCTTTTCGATATGCATTTCGATATGCTTTTCGATGTGCATATCACGATCGGTCTCACTATCGATCCCACGATCGATCTCACTATCGACCTTACTATCGATCTCACTCGATCGATCTCACTATCGGTCTCACTCCATCGATTTCACTGCCGATCTCACTCTCGATCTCGTTTTCGATCACACTATCGATCTCACTATCGATATCACTCCATCGATCTCACTATCGATCTCACTATCGATCTTACTCAATCGATCTCACTATCGATCTCACTATCGATCTCTCTATCGATCTTACTCGATCGATATCACTATCGATCTTACTCAATCGATCTCACCATAGATCCCTCTATCGCTCTCACTATCGATCCCACAATCGATCTCACCATCGATCTCACTCGAACGATCTCCCTATCGATCCCATTATCGATTTCACAATCGATCTCATAATCGATCGCACTATCGGTCCCACTATCGTTTTCGCACCAGCGGGACACCGAGACACCAGCGGGACACCGGCGGGACACTGGCGGGACACCGCGCGGCCCCGTTTGCCGGTCGGGAAATATTTGGTCCGGCCGCGCCTCAGCCACAGGAGACTTTCCGGGACACCAGCGGGACACCAGCGGGACACCGGCGGGACACCGCGCGGCCCCGCTTGCCGGGGGGGGAAATCATTTGGTCCGGCCGCGCCTCAGCCACAGGAGACTTTCCTCTCGCCCGCCCACGCAGCTTCGCCTCGCCCGCACGCACGGCACGCACGAACACGAAACCGAAACCGATTTCCCGGCTCTCCGTTCCACTTCGATCTCACCCCCCCCCCAACCTCCGATACACATACATACATACATACATACATACATACATACATACATACATACATACATACATGCATGCATACATGCATACATACATACATACATACATACATACATACATACACACCCACACATACATACATACATACATACATACATACATACATACATACATACAGACAGACAGACAGACAGACAGACAGACAGACAGACAGACAGACAGACAGACAGACATACATACACACAGACACATACATACATACATACATACATACATACATACATACATACATACATACATACATACGATACATCTATCTCTCAAATCTGCTGAAAACCTTTACGCGGAGGTGGGCCGCTAACCCTGGCCTCCACGGGGGGGTAGAGTCGAGTCCTCTGCGGTTACGAGAAGTCGAGGGGGCGCAAGCTACGTCCAGCCAGCGCACGGGCCGCCCACGAGGCGTCCACGGTCGGCCCACGAAGCTCCCAGGACGGCACACCACCGCTGCAAGACAGCACCAAAACGGCCCCGAGACCCGCGCAGACAACGTCAAAATAGTTCTCTCGGGTCAAATTGGGAAAATCTGGTCGAAGCATCGAAACCAAGCCGACCCAAGAGCGCACCGGGAACCGCGGAAAGTCTGTTGAATCAGAGTAAAGCTGTGATGGAAACATGGCGGCAGGGATTCATAGAAACATCTCCAGAAGTTGTGGTACCCCGATGCAGCGCTGGCACACTCAGCGTCAGGATGTCACACAGGCAGCTGAGCAAGTTGCACCATAATGGCAGCAGCTTGCCCTCAACCTCGAAGCGCATGACGACCAAGTCTCTGACCAAGACACCAGGTACCTTCTTATGTGATGCTGCGTTTGATGGTGCAGGAACACAAACCCTCACTTATGCGGGTGAACCGTATCGGTTAGCAATGTGTGCGTGTCCTGGGCGGTCCGCGTCCGCAACACCTGATGGCCTCTGACACGGGCGAGTTTGGCGCAAGATCACGTCTGGTTTTCGTGTTGCGCCTTTGGCGCCAAATCTGGCTTGCCATGGCTGTGACTTCAGGTTGGTAGCCACACCCTCCTCTTTGTGCCGGCAGCGTACTTGCAGCATGCGTGCGATTGAGAGCGCGAACCATGCCATTTGCCAGATTTTCGGCTGGATATTCCCGCTGCGCGCAAGCCTGATACACACGTTTGTTCGGGAGATGGTGGAAACAACGAAGAGTGAGAATGCTCGCAGACCGCGTGGCCAAGAACCTGTCGAACGTTGCGGCCGTCTGACATGTACAATGCGACAATGACGGCTGTTGAACTGGCTGAGCGATGTAGGATACGACGACGCTGTCGTGATTGGGAAGGAGAGCGACGACGCCCGGGCTGGTGAACAGAATGAGCACGCGATCAGCGATAGGAAAGCGAACCTGGTACCACAACGGGCAGCAAACGATGATTCGCTTTTGCCACACCAGAACATCAACCGTTGCATGCCCGCAGTAGACCAAGCTAACGGCACTAAGGTGCGATCACCTGCGTCACTCTACTTGTCGGCCTTGGCCGACTTGGCATATCACACCCCAGCCGCGTGTATCGCGAAATCGGTTCGCTGGGTGCGCGGGAAATGCCAACAAAGAAGCGCAGAGGACCCACGGACTGCAAACAAGACAGAGCGACCGTGCACCAGGGCAGGCGCATCCAGCTTTCAACAGGAAGAGCGGCTCCAGCCGTGCCGCGACGCCCGCGCGCGCGCTCCCGGGGTCTGCCCAGGCCCGAGTGTCGTGTTCAGTCGTCGTCCTATGCCCCGCCGAGATCGAGCTCACACGTGCAAGTCCAGCAGGCTCCGACTGCTCGCTGCCGCCATCGGACGGGCAACCCCAACGGCCTGCACCGCCCACCCTGACAGGCCACGATGAGATCCGCCGAGACCCCTTGGCCACTGGCGTGGGAGGTATCAGCCCTGCCCCAACCGCTTCCCAACCCGCTCCCCCGGGGGGGGGGGGATTCCTGAGGAGGGGGCGCTGCATTCGTACTTGGCGTTTGTCCTGGCAGCCTTCAGCCCGGCCGCAATGTCTCCCGCGTGTGTGCCCAAGCATTAGGTCGGGGTTGTCCCCCTACAGGTGGACTGTGGAGGAAAATTACAAAAGAGCCAAACAATATTCAAAAAGAGGCCAAGAATGGTCAAAGCATCGTCCCCAGACTATTCTTTGATTTCCTCCTTTCGAGGGGCATGCCCGACTTACTCCCAAGTACCTGGTGCAGGCGTGTCGTGGCGCTGCCAGCCTGCGGCCGGGTCGCTTGGAGGGGGGCTGTTGTGGCAAAGGGAAGGGTTTGCGCGGTTGGAAAGGGGGCGCGGGGGCCAGAGAGAGAGAGAGAAAGAGATCCTCCTCCTCCTCCTCCTCCTCCTCCTCCTCCTCCTCCTCCTCCTCCTCCTCCTCCTCCTCCTCCTCCTCCTCCTCCTCTCTCCTCCTCCTCCTCCTCCTCCTCCTCCTCCTCCTCCTCCTCCTCCTCCTCCTCCTCCTCCTCCTCCTCCCCCTCCTGCTCCTCCTCCTCCTCCTCCTCCTCTCCTCCCCCTCCTCTCCTCCTCCTCCTCCTCCTCCTCCTCCTCCTCGGATGCGGGAATGCGCAGAAAAGGGTTCGCACGGTTGGAAAGGGGGCGCAGGGGCCAGAGAGAGAGAGAGAGAACAAAAAAAACTCCTCCTCCTCTCCTCCTCCTCCTCCTCCTCCTCCTCCTCCTCCTCCTCCTCGGATACGGATTGCGCAGAAAAGGGTTTGCGCGGGTGGAAAGGGGGCGCAGGGGCCAGAGAGAGAGAGAGAAAGAGATCCTCCTCCTCCTCCTCCTCCTCTCCTCCTCTCCTCCCTCCTCCTCCTCCTCCTCCTCCTCTCCTCCCCCTGCCCCCCCTGCTCCTCCTGCTCCTCCTGCTCCTCCTCCTCCTCCTCCTCCTCTCCTCCTCCTCCTCCTCCTCCTCCTCCTCCTCCTCCTCCTCCTCCTCCTCCTCGGATACGGGATTGCGCAGAAAAGGGTTTGCGCGGTTGGAAAGGGGGCGCAGGGGCCAGAGAAAGAGAGATACGTAGGAGAACGAAGGATGGCATAAACATAAAATCTCGGAGGTCCGCGCGGATTTCTCGCATCGGCGCTGGATCCCCCCGGCGGCGCCTCTGGCGCCGCCCCTGGCGCGCTCCGCGCGCAAGGGCAGGGAGTCCAACGCCGAATCGAGAAATCCGCGCGGAACTCCGAGTTGTCATTCTTCGTTCCCCTAATACGGGAGTGCGCAGGACCCCCGGGCGCCCGACACACGGGCCCACGACAGCCCGAGACGGAGCCAGGACGCCCGCCAAGACGGCCACAGAGGGCCACGGGAGCTGTCGGGTGTGCGCAAGGGGCCCCCCTAACACGACCAACGATGCCCAAGAAGCGTACCAGGAAGCCCACCAGGCCACCAGACGGCAAACAACAATCAAGAACAGCGACAGCAGTCGGACTCAATTGGACAGGACACGCGAGAGGGCACAAGACCCTTGCGGGGGCCACATTACCATAGGAATGCATGAGCCTTGTGTCGCGAGACACAGGACACAAGTCACAAGGGTACCCTCGATGTTGCAGGGTCGATCTACTAATCAGGGCCGACTGCACACTATACCCCCACAGATGCAGGTACGAGTGAACGGACGGCGGGGTCGTCGGCAGTCTGCGACCCTCTGAAGAAGCCAGCCGCAGGCTCTGATGTGTTTACAAATCCTCACGCGTGCTGGGCCTACGCCTCCTCTCCCCACTCCTCTTCATCTTCATCCTCATCATGATCCTCCTCCTCTTCCTTCTCTCCTCCTCACTCTCCTCTTCCCTCCTCCCGCCGCTGCATCTCCTGCTACGTTGCTGCCCCTCCTCCTCCTCCTCCTCCTCCTTCTCCTCCTCCTCCTCCTCCTCCTCCTCCTCCTCCTCCTCCTCCCACGGCTGCCGTTCCTGCCCTGCCCCCCCACCTCTGCGGAAGCTTGACTGGCAGTGGTCCACAGCGACAAACAGTCCTGCCCTGCCACCCAGGGAGCTCCACTCATGGCCTCAGCGGGCGTGCTCGCCTGGCGTCCCCCCGCCCATTCCGGCACATCCCTCACACGCTTCGTGCCCCACAAAGAACTGCACCCATGGCCCCAGAGGCCGTGCTCGCACGGCGCCCACCTGCACAATTTCGAAACCTCCTCTCACGTTTCGTGCCCCACCAGGAGCTCCACTCATGGCCTCACCAGGCGCGTTCGCATGGCGCCCCCCGCCTATTTCGGAACGTCCCTCGCACGACTCGTGCACCAGAAGGAGCTACACCCATGGCCCCAATAAGCGTCCTCTTATGGTTTCCACCCCGACCATTCCGGCACAACCCTCAAACGTTTCGTGCCACCCCCAGGGAGCTGCACATATGGCCCTAGTAGTGGGCGTGCTCGCATGGCGTCCTCCCGCCCAGTTCGGCACACCCCTCACACGTTTCGTGCCCCACAACGAGCTGAACATATGGTCCCAGTGGGCGTGATCGTATGGTGCCCCCCCCGCCTATTTCGGCACACCTCTCACCCAATTCGTGCCCCACAAGACCTGCACCCATGGCCCCAGTAGGCGTGCTCGCATGGCGTCCCCCCCGCTCATTCCGGCACAACCCTCAAACGTTTCGTGCCACCCCCAGGGAGCTACACCCACAGCCCCGGTGGGCGTGCTCGCATGGCGTCCCCCCCGCTCATTTCGGCACACCCCTCCCACGCTTCGTGCCAACCCCAGGGAACTGCATCCATGGCCCCGTTGGGTGTGCTCGCATGCCGTCCCCCAGCCCATGTCGACACACCCCTCTCACGCGCCGTGCTCCACACCCATCGCACGCGTCGTGCCCCACAAGGAGCTCCACCCATGGCCCCAGCGGGCGTGCTCGCATGGCGTGCCCCTCGCTGGCGCCCACCATGGGCCCCGCGCGTGTCGCAGGAAGTCTACGCTTGCATACAAGTCCGTTCCGACCTGGCCGCGACGCAGGGGCGGGTTTGCGAGCTGTCGCAGTGCCTCCCGCTGGGAGTACTGTATTCGATTGCCTCCCGCAGGGAGTATTGTCAGCGTTTCGACAGTATTGCCCTGTTGTGCCCCCTGTCCTATTTCTTGATTCTGCACTGCTGCCATCTATTGCGCCGCTGTTCGGACACTTGGCTAGCGTTGTCCGTGGTCTTGACGTCCTTGATTCTGCCAGTGTTATCTAGTATGATGGCCTGCGGCCCATCCCGCCACCAGGACTTGTGGGCGTCTGCGGGGCGTCCACTAAGTCTCGCGAGGGGTCTTGAGGTCGTCCTGGGAGGTAAAGGCCCTGGGCGCCTGGCCTGGCGCATTTGGGAACGCATGTTCACCTTACCTGGACACAGGGCGGCATATATCAGATGAGGACAGCGCACGGTCGGTTCGCGTCGTGTCGACCTGCGGCGACCCCGCCGCCAGCGGCAGGCGCACGTAGGAGCGAGGAGGATGGTTCGAGCCAAGACAACGCAAAACAGAAACCCGCCGCTTGCGCCAAAATATGTCAAAAGAGCAACACCTTTAGGCCCCGATCCACAAAACACCGCCTGTGCCGCCGTGGCTGATCTGGGTCGAGCGCCCCAGGCTTGGGCCAGGAGCCCCATGAGGGTGTCGAGAGCTCCATCCAGTAGCTGTACTAGCAGCAGCAGCAGCAGCTGCAGTAACATCGAGTTTCGTAATGGTGGTAGAGGAGGTAAAGGCACTAGAAGAAGAAGTAGTAGAAGTAGCGGTAGTAGTAGTAGTAGTAGTAGTAGTAGTAGTAGTAGTAGTAGTAGTAGTAGTAGTAGAAGAAGAAGAAGTAGTAGTAGTAGTAGTAGTAGTAGTAGTAGGAGGAGGAGGAGGAGGAGGAGGAGGAGGAGTAGGAGAAGGAGTCAAGCTATCCAGCTCGAGCGAGTCAGACAAGCATGGCATGCCCAGTCCCACCCGCCCTCCCACAACATAAGAAGCAAAGCTGGCACAACTGGGGGCCGAAGTCACACCGGCCAGCCGGTTTGGTACAGCTGATGCGGCCGCGATGGCGGTTGCCGACGGGAACTGGCGAGCGCGTGTTGAATGCCGCGCACGCATTGCCAGACGAGTCGAGAATGGCCCGGTACACCGCAGGAAGCCAGAGGTGGCCGGAGGAAGCCCGACGGTCTGACAGGACACCCCAAAGCATTTTTGTGAAAAAGCATTGGGTTTTTGATGTTTTTATGTTGAAATGCTTGCAAACACACGGTGTTCGGTAGGATTCTGACATGAACGCGCGAGTGTGCTCTTTGTGGTATTTTTTGCACAGGATTCGCGGCCTGGGTGCATGACAGAGCATCGCGAGTGCACCGCGCGATGACGTGAAATCGCTGGATTTGACCGAATTCTTAAGATTCCTATGGTTTTCCTATGATTTCAGCAAGAGAGCCCGGGCGGGAAATTTGTAGAATTTTTGTGAAAAAAGCATTGGGTTTTTGATGTTTTTATGTTGAAATGCTTGCAAACACACGGTGTTCGGTAGGATTCTGACATGAACGCGCGCGTGTGCTCTTTGTGGTATTTTTTGCAATGGATTATCGCCGTGGACGACAGGACGTCCATGTCGAGAGGAAAAAATAAGAAAAATGTTGATTTTGTATTGTTTTTTACAGGTTAGGATGGGACCACCCGGATGCGGCCCCTAATGGCCGGCCTGAGGGGGGAGTAGGAGTATATTCTAATAAGGAATAAGGATAGGAGCAGGAGTAGGAGTAGGAGTAGGAATAGGAGTAGTAGGTAGTAGTAGTAGTAGTAGTAGTAGTAGTAGTAGTAGTAGTAGTAGTAGTAGTAGTAGTAGTAGTAGTAGTAGTAGTAGTAGTAGTAGTAGTAGTAGTAGTAGTAGTGTAGTAGAAGCAGTAGTAGTAGTAGCAGTAGTAGTAGTAG